ACACTTCTATTCCTCATCCCAGTGAAGCAGATATAGATCTGTTTCTCCAGTCTCTCAATTTCCCCTCCATGTCACCCTTCCAACGCAGTGGTCCTTTCACGACCGAGGAGATTCTTCATGCCATCAAATCCTTGCCCTTGAACAAGTCCCCAGGACCCGATGGCTTCTCTGGGGAATATTATAAATAATTTGGTACTATCCTAAGTCTACATCTGTTGCAGGTGTTTGTGCGGGCCTCAACATCTGCCTCTTTTCCACAAGAAATGCTGAAAGCCCTTATACTGCCAAAACCTGTTAAGGATGTGAATGTGCCTCAAAACTTTTGCCCTATATCTCTCCTCAATGTAGATATTAAGATTTATGCAAAAGTTTTGGCGCTCCGCATGATGGACGTTCTTCCATCCCTTATACACCCTGACCAATCAGGCTTTATTAAAAACTGTGGTGCTCCAGATGCCACTTGTAGAGTCATTAAAATACTACACTACGTGGAGCGATTTAAAACGTCCTTGTTTGTGTGTCATCAGTGTTATCTTCGTTTCACGGTGGGGGAGGAGCACTTCCAGTTTGTGGTGCTGCAGTTCATTCTAGCGTCGGCCCCGCGTGTGTTCACCAAAGTGTTGGCCCCAATTCTGGCATTGTTGCGTTGCCGGGGGATCTCGATCGTGGGGTATCTGGACGATCTTCTGCGGGCAGAGTCGCACTCTTCTTTACAGACAGCTCTGGGAGTCACTGTACGCTCTTTGGAGGAGTTTGGTTGGTACTTGAACTTCCAGAAGTCTTGTATGGTGCCGTCCCCGCGTCAGGAGTATCTGGGCCAGGTCTTGGACACTGTTGTGGCCCGAGTTTTTCTCCCTCGGGACAAGCTCTTGAAACTCCGATCCCGCGTACGTTTGTTGCGGGCTCGTCGGTGGTCGTCAATCCGTTTTTGCATACAGGTCCTGGGTCTCATGGTGTCCTCCTGCGAGGCGGTGCCCTATGTGCAGCTCCACACCAGGACTCTTCAGAGGGACATCCTGTTGCAGTGGGACAAGTCTCTGGACAGAAAATTCGGGTGTCTCGGGCAGCGAGAGTTTCCTTACTATGGTGGCTTCAAACTCCAGTTCTAGAGCAGGGGAAGTCCTTTCTGCCCCTGCGTTGGATGGTGCTCACCACGGACGCCAACCTTTGGAGCTGGGGAGGGGTCCTGGGCACCTAGACAGTACAGGGTTGTTGGTCGGGGGAGGAGTCCCATTTGCCGATCAATGTGTTGGAACTTCGAGCGATTCGCCTATCCCTTCTTCATTGGACGGCTCGTGTTCAATGCCTGGTGGTTCGTGTGCAATAGGACAACGCCACCGTGGTTGCGTACATCAACCATCAGGGCGGCACGAAGAGCGTGGCCGGGATTCTCTCCTGGGCGGGGAGCCAGGTTCCGGCCCTCTTGGTGGTCTACATTCCGGGTGTAGACAACTGGCAGGCCGATTACCTCAGTTGCCAGTCGATGGGCCTTACGCCCGGAGATTTTTCATCAACTTTGTCTTTGCTGGGGGACGCTGGATGTGGACCTTCTGGCGTCTCGTCTCAACCGAAAGGTCGACCGGTTCAAAGCCCGGGCTCAGGATCCTTGGGCGGAAGCAATCGATGCCCTGGTGGCTCCCTGGGCCCCCTATGGTCTGATTTTATGCCTTCCCTCCGTTATAGCTGTTACCGCGGCTTCTGCTCCGGATAGCGGCCGAAGACATCACCGTCATCCTCGTGGCCCCAGATTGGCCTCGGAGAGCGTGGTAAGCGGACGTGGTTCAGCTGGTGGTGGACGCCCCGTGGCGGCTGCCCCTGAGTCCAGATGTTCTGTCCCAAGGTCCTGTGTTCCACCCTTCTTTATAGTCGCTGGTTTTGACGGTGTGGCTGTTGAGAGCCAGGTCCTGAAGGACCGCGGGTTGTCGGATGCGGTCATTTCCACGATGCTCGGGGCGCGCAAAGCTGTCTCAAGGGGATCTATCATTGCACGTGGAGGGCCTACTTTACCTGGTGTGAGGCTGGGGCTCTGTCTCCGCGTTTGTTTTCGATTGGCAGAATGCTTGCTTTTCTGCAGCGTGGTATGGATCAAGGATTGGCCTTGAGCACGGTGAAGGGCCATATTTCCGCATTGACGGTGCTCTTCAAGACGCCTTTGGCGTCTAACGCTTTGGTTCATACTTTTTGTTAAGGGTTACGCGTCTTGCTCCTCCTGTCCGATCGCCCTTGGCGCCGTGGGATCTGAATTTGGTGCTTTCGGTGTTGCCGGAATCTCCGTTTGATCCTTTGTGGGAGATTCAGCTTCTGACCTTGTCCCAAAAGGTGGCCTTTTTGGTGGCGATCACGTCCATTCACAGGCTTTCTGAGTGGGCAGGCTTGTCCTGCAAGTCACCTTTGCTTGTTCTTTATAGGGACAAGGCTGTTCTGCATCCTCGACCGACCTTCCTGCCTAAGGTTGTGCCGGTGTTCCATCTAAATTAGGAAATCGTCTTGCCTCTCTGTGCTTTAAACCGGTGCATAGGAAGGAGATAGGGCTGCACTGTTTGGATGTGGTTCGCGCTCTCCGGGTCTATTTGGAGGCTGCGGCTTCTTTCAGTGAGTCAGATTCCTTGTTTGAAGTCACGGCGGGCCCTCGGAAGGGCCGGGCCGCGCCGGCAGCTACCATTTCTAGGTGGATCTGTCGCATTGTTATTCAGGCGTATGCCATCAAGGGGCATAAGCATCCTTTCTGTGTCACTGCCCATTCTACTAGGGCAATTGGGGCTTCTTGGGCTTTTCGGCATGGTGCCTCTGTTTCTCAGGTTTGTAAGGCCGCTACTTGGTCTTCTGTTCACAACTTTGTCAAGTTTTACAAGGTGGATGTTTTCGCATCTGCAGATGCTGGTTTGGGGCGCAAAGTGTTGCAGGCGGCTCTTTAGGGGGTCCTTTGTGGTTGTTGGTGTTTTGCCCATCCCTCTGTGTGCTACTGCTTGGTGACGTCTCTACGTACATGATCTAAGATCTCTTCCCTGTGTCCTTCAATGAACAGGAGAAAAAATAGGATTTTTGTACTCATTGAAGGACACAGGCCTGCCCTCTTTTGTGGGTGTATATTCCTAACTGCTTGTTACTTACTGGAGACTTGTCAGCAGGTGGGGAGTTTGGCCACCAGCAGTGGCCACCCCTAGGCTGTCTTTGTCTTTTTGTTTTGTGCCTAGCGTCTTTCTCCTGCAGGTGGTGATATACCCTACAGTACATGATCTACAATTTGTTCCCTGTGATCGGAGAGAAAAGGGATTTTACGGTGAGTACAATCCTATTTTTGTCAAAGCTAAACCCTTTGAGATATGGGAAAGTTACCTCAATCACACTTTTTCTACTGCCCAGTGGCTACAGGCACTCTCTTGCACGCTCAAAACCACTAGATGTGTGGAAGTTTGGGGTTTACGCTACAAAATCTCACTGCAATGGTATTACACACCACACAAACTGGCAACAATGTTTGCATTATCCTCCTCAATGTGCTGGAGGGACTGTGGGCTAGCTGGCACCCTACGCCACATTCTGTGGTTGTGTAAATGCCTAACAAGCTTCTGTAGGGAGATTTTTACGAAAATAGCAGTTATCACAGGCTTACTGATAGACCCATCTTGTGCCTTGGCGGTTCTGTCCTTGGGCATTGACCGTATCCCAGCAAAATTTAGAAGCTTATCAGTTCATATCCTACTGGCGGCCAGGCTCACTATAGTTAGAAAGTGGAAGAGCTCCATAACCCCCTCGATTGGCGAAACCCTCTCCACAAAGAGGCGCCTTTATCACTACGAAAGGCTTATAGCCTACAAGGAAGGGGTCATTAAAAAATGCCTTCCGTGGGTTCGGTGGTTCAGCACATCTACACCAACCTTTGCTCCGTGAGTGCAGTTTGAGTTTACCTGGTTCTATATAGACACGAGTCCGGAATGTCTGGTCACAATATGTACATTGAATTGTATGTATTACCCAATAGTTACATATGCTTTCTACATGCACTTTGGTCATTGGATTATATGCTATTCCTACCGACCCTATGTTGATTATTTAGCCTGTATTTCTTTGTTATATTTCTTTTGTAATTTGCTTACTTTGTCATAAAACTGAAAAACATTCAATAAAAATCTATTGAAGTAAAAAACATTTTAGGAGATCGGTTTACCTTGAGGAGATTAAGCTAGGATATGTGAAGAACCATAAAGCCATAGAATGTGTATCCACACATAGGAAATTATGTAGTAACATTTGGAGGGCATGCATATACCAATCTTGTATGTATCTGTCTTGCTGTATTATTTTGTAACATGTGAATGCCATTGTATTTTTACTTTTAAGTATGAGGCTACTAGAGATTGCAATCCTTTTTTCATCAAAACAATGATTTTACCATGCATAGGGCAATATGTGCGGGAACTGTTCTCTGTGTAGGAAATGTTTTCTGCATTTTAATTGTTTCCATGAAAATACTGGTGATTGCAATCCATTCATTTCTATTTTGTCAGTAATACTCAGTCAATGTCACCACAAAGATTTAATCATTTATAAGGCATTGTGGGCAGAAAATATTCTCTGAATGGGAAATGTTTTTCTGTTTCCATAATTGTGATGCAGCTTTATTGATGACTGTGCTTGGCTGGCTAGAGTATACAGGGTAATGATCCTGAAGCTCTTTCACCTGTGGCACCTGAGACATAGAAATAAAAGATCCCTTCCTATGTTCACTCACTACTCTACAACTAAGCCCAATTGGGTGAAACACGTTAAAGGTGAGTGACCAGCAGGTGGGCACCATAAGTTTGAAGCTGACTGGATTTTACACATAAAGAATCGCTGGGTAAAGGCTGGCATTGTGGGGCTGTTTCTTTAAAAATAAATTTGGCTGCAAAAGTGGAAATACAAGTGCATATGTTTTGGCCTGCATGGACAAAGCACAGGTTTACTTTAAATGGTATATCATTGTGGGTCTCTGATATTTTTTCCTCTTTTTCTGTCAGGCTTCCTGATGAAATTACACAAAGTCCAAAACTACAGCTTGACAATAACATTGCATTAAGTACCTCTCTACATAGTGGAAGTTTTCCATCGCCTCCACGAACCACTGCTGTACTTATTCCAGGGCTGTCTGAGAAAGTAATTCACAAACCAATAGTACAGGTAAAATGCAACCTCTTTCACATAAATATAACATGTTGCTATTGCTTCATTTTTCATGAGTATTTCACATTTTTATCAACTGAGCAAGTGTGTGTGTGTGTGTGTGTGTGTGTGTGTGTGTGATTTTTTTATTGGAAAATGAACAGTTCTGAGCAGTGGCGTAACTACCACCATAGCGACCCACGCGGTCGCTATGGGGCCCGGGGCAGAGGGGGGCATGGTGGCGAGGGGCTCAGCAGTATACGTGGAGGACGAGACCCGGCTGCTGCGGAGGAGACTGGCGCCCTCAGCCGTGGAGGAGGAAGCCGGGGCCCGGAAGAGGATACCGGGGATCAGCAGTAAAGTGGAGGATGTCGGGGATCGGCGGCGAGAAGGCCGGAGATCGGCGGCATTGGTGGAAGTGGAGGCCGGGGATCGTCTGTGAGAAGGAAGAGGCTGGGGCTCGGCGGCGGCTGACAGGTAGGAACGGCTAAGCTGCTTTGCTGTTTTTTTATTTAATAATATGCAGTGTTAGGATCTAAAAGGCTCCGTCTTTCCCCTAAATGTTCCCTGTGTTTGAGTCCCTGCACAGCCAGGAGGGCTGCATCTGGCGGAAAACATGCACCCCTCATTGCCATTCCCAGCTGTTCCCCTCTCCGCCCTACCTGCTACAGTTGGAGATGAGGGTCAGGATGGACATGAGGGTTAAGGTGGCCATACACTGTACAACCATCGCAAGACCTTAGTCTTAGTGATCAAAAAAACGTACGATCTGCCCATCTTGGACAGGTGGCTTGTACTCTCGATCATCGCAAGCCCGCCCCCCCCTGAGGGGCGTGCTTTCGATGACCGTAATGCTGAACGGCCAGTGTGCCCGTTCGGCATTTGTCTCCTGAGCACCGTTCAAGCCAGCCGAAAATCGTACGATTTTCAGCTAGTTTTCTAGCGTGCTCCTTAGACAAAAGACATGCGACCGTACAGTAGAAACGGTTGCACGTCTTCGTTCACACTGCTCCATTCTCGTATGATCGCGGGATTTCCCGCGATTCTCGTACGAGAATCGAGCAGTGTATGGGCACCTTTAGGATGGAAATCTAAAGGATTGTGGTACAACAAGTGTATTACTCCTTTGATCTGATATCGGAAATATCCCATAAAAAAGTGTTTGACACAGAAGACGCTGATCTGCCAGCTGGCATGCCGCCTCACGTTTGAACTCCTGTGATTATGGCTAAATGTTGTACTGCAATCTTTGTGAGGAGGTTTTTAGCCATTATCCTTTGAAATAAAATATGGTCCTGCACATGTTGGGAGCGCTGTGTTTTTGTTTTAGGATGGTGAGAATGGTCAGGAAGCAGGGGGGCTCTGCAGGGTCTTTGGTGTGATTGTGCGTGGTCTATGGTGGGCTCTGCAGTAGTGAGCATCTGAGTTATCTGTTCTTCAGAGCCAGCAAAAGAACGTGTTCTGAAGGTAGGTGCTTTTTCTTTTTTTTGTTGGGGGGGGGGGCATACAAAACTTTGCTATGGGGCCCTGTGATTTCTGGTTACGCCCCTGGTTCTGAGATTTGGAGCTCTGCAGTGACAGAGAGGAGTAAGAATTTACGTGCTCAGAGCAGAGAACTGTAAAGGTTGCTGTGTAGTCACTATGCAAATTCCCAGCCTTGGGTTGTCTTGTTTTCCATGGAACTTCATGGAATACTCATGTATGAAGAATGAGAGGTGTAAGACATGCCCATTGTGCCATATGGAACTTTAGACCTTTAGAGAGAGTGCACCTTTGTTACCTCTGTTAATAGTTGGCAAGATATACATCAATGCCTCTTATGAAGGACTTGCACATAATAAGACTTCCTAGAGACTGCTTTATAGTTGTATGCATTACATGTTTTAGTGGATACACCTGCAATCCTCTGGTTATTGTTGCACATATTGTATACATTTGGAAGAAATCTTATACTGTATGTACCTATTGACATCTGGCATTTGAATTGTAGCGTGACACTTTTCATTTATAAAGCTAAAAGAAAAATGTATATGTCATGAAGTTCACATATTGACGTGTGCGTTTAAAGATTTGTTGCTCTAGCATAAAAGTACTATTTATGTATCATTTTTTGAGGGACATCCTTTGATTGATAACTTAATCAGAACAATTAGGCTATAATGCCATCTGCAGGAATTGGATGCTAGGTCCATGCAAAACGCATCAAAGAGGGCAGCTTTATCTGGAGTGATAACCCTACAACTGCCAGAGAAAACACGTTTATGCCTAGCATCCAAGGAGTAATCATCTGCTTCTTGGTTTGTAGATCTTCTTTAAAAAAGCTGACTGGAAGACTGTATTCATAGATCCTTTTAGTCTCCCTAGTTCAGCCAGTGAGTGCAGGTGTCTCCTCCAAAGGCTAGATTAGTATTCATTGCAAAATCCAAGTGTGTCTCCAGCAGTGACATGCCAGCACTGTGCCTCCTCTATAGGACTTAGAGTACACAGGCCAGGGTCCTGCCTCTGTCACAGTACCCCTATTCCAGTCCACACAACATCAAACTTAGGGGTCTATATATGGAGGCATTCAAAAGCCCAGATACGCTTTGGGATTGGCAGAAAATGGTATCCTCACCACATGATGGCAGCGTCCCAGTCAGCTTGTCAGATCTGCACTTCCGATATACAGTGTCACTCTCATACTTCACATCAGACAGTGGGCAACTAGTTCCTGCAGGAATTTAAATCATAGCCTAACCACACCGGTATTGCTGCTCTGAGAGTGTGCTTGTAAGTGACTAATTCACTTCCAGTGAGGATGTGCAGCATTATTTTGTGCAGATAGTGTGGATAATCCCCTAATTCTCTGACGCACCTGATTGCTACTGTCTTATCCCATGCCATTGGCAGCATGTCTCACACCAAAAAGATGGGTGGCCGTTTGACAGCAGTCGAATTGATCACACAGAGCATGTTCTAGCTGCCACATAAAATGTATTCTCATTAAAGGTGATCTACTTTGTGGCACTTGCTTTTTAACCTCTGTTGCCCACCTTGGCACCATCATCTGAGGCCCTTTTAGGGGTCTCGGTGACTCCTTTCTGCTCCCTTAGGCTTGAATCCAGCTATGGAAGGATTTGTTTTCCCATTTGCTCTGGACCTAAACAACCCAAAAGGGTGCCTTCACCAATTTATTTGGAAATAGCTGATGAGTAGGTCCTGGGCCAGAACCAGCAGGGGACTCGGACAAGGAATCTCTCTGACCCCTGAGAGGCTTCTGAACTCTTAGTGAAAAGGAGATGGTTTCTGTCTTAATTTGCACAGTTGATGAAAGCTAAAAATAGAGAATTCCTTTAACCCCTTTGTGACTGACGACGTACAGTGTACGTCGCCAAGCGACTGAATATTTTAGCTTTTAGCTCTTACAAACAGAAACAAGGGGCAAAAGATGTTCCTACTCCTTTTTTGGTAACTTGTTAAGAATGGAAAAGCCTGGGCAGGCCTATGCCTTGCCATAACATTTTTCTGTCTGTTACCCATTTTCAGAGGACTTCCTAACTTACCAGTCTTGAACCCACCTGTTTCCAAGTTCCATGCCAATATAAGGAGCTTCTTTCTTATAGACCTAACCTTCAGAAAGATGGAATTAGTTGCATGATTTATATACACTCCCGCTGGATCCCTGATGAAATGGTTCTAGCTTCTGCACTAGTGTTCCAGACTATTATTGTGTGTGCTAGGCTCTTACACCAGGACCTGGACAGGGAACATGTTCTCTTGGGCCTGATTGAGTTAATGGATGAGGAGATGTGCAGACCCTTAACTACCTCTGTGATTTAGCACTGGACTGTATTCTATTATTTGTTGCATGTGTGGATGTCTGTGGTGGTATTGTAGAGGACCCTGTGGCTGAAGTACTTATTAGCCACTTAGTGTCACTAAAGTATCCATCTGAGCCTTCCAGAAAAATGACAATTGATCAACAAATGACTCCTATAACTTCAAATTCATGCATGCGTGGCACCGCCCGATACTTAAAGGAGAACTATGAGGTGAGTGATTTACACTCATCCTCATAGTTAGAGCCGTGGTGTGACATTGAAACTGTCACACGTCGGCTTTATTGATCGGGAAGTGAGTGAGCGCATGCCGTCACTCGCTCACTTCCCAATCATCTCAATGCAGAGAGCAGTGACTGTTAGTCACCACTCCCCACATGGATTCTCCCCTCTCTGATGCTCCAGTGCTGACTGGAGGAACGGACAAGGATGGGGCTGGCACAGCTGGTTCTGCCTCTAGATAGGCAGAGCTTATTGTCAATCAACCAGCTGGGTGGATCTCTACAGTATTGTCGGGATCCGTCCCGGCTGTGGCACTCTCAGTATATAGCGAGCTAAATACTAAGCTTTGGGTCATGGGAGGAAGTTAGTATATGTCCTCCCGTGACCCTAAGGAGAACTATGGGATAAAAAGGTTACCCCATAGTTCGCTTTTTAGTTTAACTTTTGGTGTTTTTGCACCCGCCAGAACCTTAAACTGGATTTCTGTCAGGAATTTGCATTTTCCTGCAGCAGGAATCCCTAAAAAAAGGTTCTCCATCAGGTCCTCCTCTGCTGATAGCAGGCAGTGGGTGGGTGCAATAGCCACCCTGCTGTTGGCTATTGCATTTTTAAAAAATCCAATAGCAGGCTGGGTATGGCTTCCAGCCTCTAGATGCATAGGAGGAACGGGCCGGGGCAGCGGAGACATGAGGCGACAAAGGACCGGGCAGGGCAGAAGCGGAGGTACGGGGGCAGCAGGGGAATGCAGTCACAGCGGTTTCTCCTCACCGCTGGTGCCAGTTGTGGTGTGTGTTCCCACTCCCTCTGCGGATACAGGGAGAGCAGCAGGGATTGAGAGGGACACAGACCGCTGCAACCAGCACCAGCTGGGAGGAGAACGGAGGAGCAGAGCAGCGGCAACTAATCGAAAAAACAACTAATCGATGATGAGGAATGTTGCCAACGATTCTCATTATCGATTATAATTGATTTAATTGA